TGCCTTCGGTGACTTCGTTTCGGTGGCCCGAGCGTTGAAATACCCAGGAAAACTGACTTTGCGTTGGAAAGATCCTTTCCGTGTGGGAAGATTGTGTCCGATCATTCGTTCGAAGTCCAGCAGTTGGTCCTCCTCGAGAAATCTTGCTGCACCACTCCAGCCGGTTGAAATTGTTTTCCGTTGAATCCCTGGACGTCGACGAAGACCTCTGAGCTAGAATTGCGTTTGGCGATGATGGCTTCTATGTGGAAGCCTTGCAAGACCTTCGCATGTACGCCTTGTTCAAGCGATCAAGAACGTCTCGAAAGCTCATTCCCTCGCAGTTCTGACGACCGACATCACCCTTGGCGATTGCCCATACTAACTCAATTGGTTGTAGGTCCGAGTGATACGGCGGAGTGTACACAACGGAGTGTCCTCGTGCACTTGCCATCGCGACGAAGACAGGGACCACGTTGTCATCAATGTGTTTGCTCAGGTACGTCCACAACGAGCACTTCGGATCGTTGCTGTTGAATGAGATCCCGTAGGCTCTGCACGCGTTCTGAAGACGGGCTTTGGTCCAGCCGTATCAGGGGGTGTCATGAGGTAAGCACTTATGATACTTGACGTTGTCCATCACGATTGCGACGTAAGGTGGAGTGACTGTGCATACAGTTGATGTAGCTTTATATAGTCGCCACACATCCTTGACTACTTTCAGGCTGTGGCCAAGTATTCGAGCGATGTGACCGGAAGCGTCTTCCATCCCCTCAAGCCGAAAGTGTGGGTGAAGACGTAGAATATTAACACGCTCTTCTTTAGTTAGGCTATGCGGTCGTTTCTTCTTGACAAAGCAGTTGATGGTGTCGAACTCCTCCTTGGTGATGGCTGGTGTTGGACGGCCCATTGTTGTTTGTCAACTTGAATCGAGAATGACAGGATAGGAGCCACGGACATAAACACGCAACTTTGTCAAATATTGTATGTCTCAGACCGCCCGCCTCCAACGACCACAAATACAAATACTGTAGAAGGAAATAGAAACATACGATGCACATGGACATTCATTCACAACTTTGGAGTAGAATATTTTGTAAGGTATTGTGTTTCAGGATCATTTTATTTTGATTGCACGGTTCGAACCAGTGCGCGGTGTAGATTCGATTCACGTATTCCAAGTCTATCGTAGCTTATTTTTTCACATGGAGTAAAAGTCCCCTCGATGACGCCCGCCACTGTTAACGCATCAGGCGACCTCATAAAACCCTTACCGGATGATGCGGAGTTTATCCGGATAGTTCGTTGCGCTTCAAGATACCAAACGGACCAATCAAATCACACAATCGATCTAGCCGTCGAAACCGTTGCCAGAGTGAAATCTTGCGATCTTATCTCGATGGACGCGGCCCAAGCACTTCGACACCTTCGCAAGCGATGCGGCATTGCCGACGAAGAGACACTGCCTTCGTTCTACGAGATTGACGCAACGTACAAAGCTGTGTTTGAAGAATGGGCGACGGATGGGTACGAGTACGCCGTTCCCACGGCGCAAGTCGTCGTGTTCAATCCAGCGCACTTGCATGAAAAAGCGCAAGAGTTGGAACGGCTCCGCATCGAGTACCAACAGCCGCCCCCGCAGCCCTCTTCGACCACAGATCCGTCAAACCAAGGAACTGACGATGTCTCTGAGTACAATATAAAGCACACTGGGCTCAAGCAACTCTCTGCGTCGCACCTTACTGTCGTCCTCACACACCCCCTGGACATGCTGCATGACCTAGTCAAGGGGTACTTTCACTTGCGCAGTCAGTCCGCCTTGACGTCAAACGAACAAAGTTTCTGCAACCACGTCGAGCAAGTCGTTCTGGGATATTTGATTCAAATGACGCTCAAGGGTGGCGATTTCCTCGGGGACGTTCATGCGTTCTTCCTCGAATTGATTCTTCGTCAAAGCGACAATCCGCCCATGTTGGCATTCACGCTGCTCTACAACTTGAACATAGCGCTCGACGGCAACGCGGCGCAAGTCGAGCTGTTCTTTATCCTGCTGGACATGGTGGATCGTCTGGTGCACTTGTCACGGCCCATCGGTACCACCACGCTGCCCCTCATCACCGGGACGCTTGTGAGCATGGTCCGCCCTGCTCCTGGCGAGTACTTGCCTGATCGCTTGATTGCAGTGCCATTCTCCAATTTTATCGCGTTGCTCCAGGACCCCACCAGTCAAGGCCGTGTTGCCGTCATGGAAATGCTCGTCATGAGTCTGTACCTACGGCACATGCTGAACGATGACCACCAGCAAGACACGTACGGCGCACGAAAGAGTAAAGAACGATTTCACAGGGGCATGCCGTCGTCCGTGTGCCCTGTGGACCCACGTTCCGGCATGCCCATCTTCGACCTTGACACAATCGACCCCAATGACGCCAACTCGACAATCGACATCCTGTTACACCACTATTTCACGACGTCGTCCATTGCCGTTCATCGACTCATCTTTATGGTTATCTTTGACCTGGCAAAAGCTAACTTTCAAGTACCGTTCGCTGCACTGGAGCACGCCCTGGCGACTTGTCTAGACCAAGGGCTTGCGTCAGTGATTGCAACGTTCCCCACGGTGCTGTTGCCCGCACATTTGACTCGATTACTCGGTCGCTTGGACGCCAAAGTTGACAACGATCTGCTTGTCGTACTCACCGAAGTCGCCCAAGTGGTTGGTTACCGAGAACGTCGTCCATGTTCGCATCTTGACATTGTTCTCGTTGGTCGGTTGTAGGCGCGAGTCCGCGACTACTTTGACCAGTGCTCCACCCTCGCACAAATTGTGCAGAAACGTCGATGGCTCGACGTGTCGGTGGTGAACACCAGCGCCTCTGCAGGAGGCGGCCAACATTTGGATCCCGTGCAGCGCGCCATGTTCTTGATTGGCAGCGCTGTCCCAGAAGAGCGCTTTAAAGGACAGGTTGGTCATGCACAAGCGCTCTCGATCACCGCGGCCGAGGGGACTGACTCGCCAACGATTTGGGTAGAGATGGCTGGCCGAACTCCTGGTTGACCCGACCGTGTCGACGATTGGCGACGAGTCGAGTGTGGATACGAAGCACGCGCTGCGGCTACAAGCACGCTCAGCATTTTGGGAATCTATCCGTTCCAAATCCATGTCCATGCGACTAGCGATGGTGCAAGTGTTGGCTTTGGTGGCCAAGCGACGGTTGGTACTGTCGTCGGTACGACAGCAATCGCGTCAATCACTCGGCCTTTGGTCGATCTCACGGCTCTCTGTGCGGCGATTGTAGTTCAAGGCAACGTTACCTTTGATCTTGAAGGAGGCTAACGCAGTTGCGAAGACGTGGGTCGACCACGCCAACGACTTATCGTCTGAAGATGCTGACGTCGCGTGGGCGGCGTTGATGGAATTTGCCCTAAGTATGTGCAGCCGTCAGTTGAGCTTTGTGCATCGCCGAGCCAGGCAACTCTTGGGCACGCAGGTCTTCCAGAACAGTTCCACCGAAGCTGCGTCGATAATCCGCGCGTTGGCGCATGGCTCCATCGCGCTCGATCGCGAGCTCTTGCAGGAGCTAACAGGAGACTGCTACCTCGCCGCGTTGCATGCCCTGGCGAGGTGTCCAACCTCTGGTGTCGCAGGCGTCGTGTCCATGGTGGTCAAGGCGATGAACAGTGAAGGCCAACAGTTCGCGAGGCTTGGCGGCATCGCCAAGTTTCGCGCGTTCCTCGAGGCCCCGCACTCGCCGCTCGTGTCCTTGTATGTTTCACTTCAAACTTGTCTGATTGCTACCGAGCTGATTGTTAGTGTAGGCACGTGGCCGAGCTGATAGTGTCGATGGTGCGAGGCACCAACAAGGACGTGTACTTTGCAGCGCTCAAGGACCTCCACCTGCAGGCGCAGGACGTTAGCGACGAGCGGGTGCTGGACAATCCATACGTCCATTGTCGCCAGCTCTTGACACGGCTCTACCACACGTCCAAAATCCCGATCGATTAACTACTACATGTACTGACTAAACAACCGTTCTTCGTCGGCGAGGTATTTCGCTAACTTACAACAACCTGCCATGGCTTGAGGTAGCCGCAATCCCCCCGCGTCCCGGGCTGGCCATACCCGTCTGAGCTGCCAAAGCCAAATCCACACTGACATACGCCCGTGGAATAATCGCAGACGCCGTGGTTCGAACACACGGCATTTTCTTTTGTGCCGTTCTGGACCTTGGTCACAATCGTCTGGCCGGCCCTGGTCACCCCATTCAAACTCAGCCCTTGGTCCAGGACTTGCAGCCGGGGCAAATTGCCAAAATCTTGAACAAACGTCATCGTCACGACGTTACCACCGACGCATGCGCCGCCCCCACGTTGCGAAAACGAAAGCACAATGTCCGTGATGGTCGGGATGGTTTGGACCGCGGCCAGCACTGCGGCCAAGTTTGCGTTGAACGGTATCTGTGGCGACGACTCGCCGCGAAAGGACAATTGGAACGAGCCAGAGTCGGCCGCGCATTGAAAAGCTTGAACGTCGTTCACTTGTTCGAGCGTTAGAGGATCGTCTCCCTGTGGGCATCGTTCTACACCGCTCGAGTTACTTGGTTTGGATCAAACAGGTTTGGTTGTACTCAGGCTGCAGTCGTGGCCCATGTAACCGCGGTCACATTGGCAGCCTTGAATTCGCAGAGCATCCCACGTGTGCGGGCTGTTTGAGTCCAGGCCATAGGAGAACCCGGCGGGGGTCCAGTCGCGTGTCATTGTGGCCTGCGCTAGCGCTTGGAGCGACAGACAGTTGCCATGGCCACTGCACTCGTACACGCTGTCGCCTTTTGGGCATTGCACTACATCAAATTAGACTTTACAAACGGCGGGCAATGGAAGGAAGTACTGAGATTGCACGAAGGGCCTTCGAAGGGAGGAAAGCATTCGCATTCCCCAGTGATGGGGTCGCACGTGCCCCCATCCGAGCACGTCGTCCTCACGGTGTGTGCCTCATTCGTCCTTGACGGAAGCGAAAACCACGACGTGCCCTTGGGGCAATCGCCTACATCGAGTCAGCATTGCGGACTGGTTACAGTAGCCACAGCAAAAAACTACGCACGCATCGAGCAATCGCCGGTGGTCCAGCCCACGGCACAAGCGCAAGTGAAAGATGGGGCGCCAGAACACGTCCCATGGCCACTGCACGGAATGTAGCCGGGACATCCTTTGATGGCCCCCCCGTAAAAGTTGGTGTTATCCGGGGCCCCGCAATCGCCCCGATGTCCCACTTTGCCGTAGCCGTCGCTCGATCGAAACCCCGGCATCGGGTAAATATAACACGCGCATTGTCCCGTTTCTATTCGCCAAGAATCGTGAAGTATGCTCGTGGTCGAGAGATCTCGTCATCCTACTCGGATTGCAATAGCCACGGTTGCTGCACGGAGCGTATTCCTTGGTGCCCCGGATGCTTACTGTTGTCCCAATCGCAGCCCCGCCTGCCCCAGTGACCACGTTACCCGTCAATGTTGATTGCCCGCGCTCTGTTGTCACGGCCAGCATGGACGGTTGCCTGCCAAATACGTCATGAACACCCCTCGACCCTCGATTTTTGACGGTCGAATGTTGTGCGTACGGGCCGAAGACGGATGTAAACTCGACAGACACCACGTTGCGGCCGGATGCATCACATAGAGTTGCCCCAAACGAGTATGTGACTCGAACGGTTCCAAACGGCGCCACATTCTGGAGCCACGTCGGTCAATGAAGTAGACATCGATCATGCCAAGGAACAGGCCATCGGCGTCGAGCCGAAGATGTCCATGGAGAAGCTCGCTTACTTGCAAAGCGGACTTCAATTGAGCAGCTGTAGTCGAGACAGCGAGACTTGTCGTGGACTCGCCCCGCAACTTCAACACGAAAGAACCTGCCGTCGCCGTACACCGTAGAAGTTGCACTTCGTTGACTTGGGCTAACGTCATGGGATCGTCTCCCAAAGGGCACGTAGCTACACCGAACTCTTCAATCCTAGCAAAGACATTGCGCTGAGCGCCATACCCCATTCGCAATCCACGCCAGCCGAGCCGCGATCGCATAGACAGCCGTAGACCATTTCGGCGTCCCACACGCTTGTGTAAGTTTGCTCATTTGGACTGCGCAAAAGCGCCAGCTGCGACATGGAGACGCATCGACCGTTGTTGGTGCACTGATTTGGACATGCCACTACAGTAATGCATTTCAGCCATCGCGGGTCGCTATCAATGGAATCGGTCGCCGCACGTTTGTCGCAGGAAGCACCAGTGAACCCGACATCGCAGTGGCATTCGCCATTCTCGCGGTTGCACAGACCCCGATTCGAACACTCGGCGTTGACGTGGATCTGGTTGATGCCAACGGCATCGCCCGACCATGCCAGCCCCGATGGGCATCGCACTGGGCAATTATGAGCTGCGTTTTCCCGTCATCATGGACAAGTGACTCGTACGTTGGGAGCAATCAAAGCCGAACGCCGATGGGTCGCACTTGCATGCACCGAGAGGAGTGCAATCTCCACGTCCGTTGCATATTCTTCCAGAAGCAGGCGCTGTGGGGCATGCCGCAAATGCCACAGCCGCGGCAGCGATGACCACCCCAACGATTCGCCGGGCCGCCATCGTCATGTGGAATCATGTAACCGCTCTCGACAATTTGGGCCAATCAAACACTGTGCCGATTCAAGATCTGTGTACCAGACGAACGGTCGGCGTGTTTCGCACATTTCCGATGCGGGCGGCGCTCGTATTCTGTACGGTGCTTCTGTGCTTGCTATGGTTGCCTGACAGCGATGCGAGCTGTGCGAACATGTGCTCGGGTCACGGAACGTGCGGCATGTCCAAGTATGTCGGCCTCGTACATGCGGACTTGGTCTGACGTGTCCGTAGTAAATGCACGTGCGACGCGCAGTGGAACGTCGTGCCAGACTGTTCTCGCCACGTATGTCCGTCTGGCGTTGCTTGGGTTGACAAGGCATCGGCCCCGAACGGAGCTCATGCCACGGTCATGGAGTGTTCCAACCGCGGGATCTGCGATTACTCAAAAGGGTCGTGCATTTGTGCTGAGGGGTACACGGGAGATGCGTGTCAACGAAGTCAGTTTAACACTTTCACTGCCACGAATGTTTAACGTGAGCAACCTTGTAGTGCGATGTCCCAATGACTGCTCAGGTCGCGGACAGTGCCTGACCCTCTCGACGCTCGCCAGGTTGTACGGCCCCCAAACACCAGCAACAGGGCTTGGCCCCATCTACACCAACTGGGAAAAAGACAGCATCATGTCGTGCTACTGTGACATGGGATTTACTGGCCCAGACTGCTCGATGCGTACGAGCTAACCGCGATCGTGTCTCGATGGCTCATTAAGTTGTCCAGGGATGTGTCCAAAGAACGACGATCCTCTCACTACCAGTCAGGTGTACCGCTCCATTGCGCTGACCGTGAGCGCGTCTTCATTGGCGTTGGTCGGCACCGTCAGTGTCACGTTCAACGGGTATTCGTTCACTATGCCAGCAAATGCAAACGCAAATTCCGATGCGATTTGTACGGCTGCCGCCATGACGCTGGGCAACGTCCGCGTCGCAACTTGCGTAATGTCTGCCGTGAACGCGGCGACTCAAGGGGCTACGTACACGATCGAGTTTCAGGAATGGGCGCATCGCGATGCTGAAAACAACGTGTTTTCCCACACGGGTAACCCCCCGGTCGCGTCATTTAGTTGCAATGTTGCCGGTGTCACCAATGCCAAGTCACCCACATGCTCGATAGCTGATGTGGTCTCGGTTAACGTTATTGGTACGCAATTGTGGGATTCTCTCGCCCGATGCTGGACGCCGTGATGAACCTTGACTGTCATCCTGCCGCCGTAGAGCACGAATACTGTTCTCGTCGTGGGATTTGCGACTTTACGACGGGGCTCTGTACGTGCTTCTTGGACTACAAGACGAGCGACTGCAGCCAGTTGTCCAATATCCCGGACAACATCGACGACCACGACGGATTCCTCATCCAGCCCATTGGACCGAGTTACGTTGGCACGGCCTTGCACATCCACACGATCAAGGCGATGGCGACGGACTTCCAAATGATCAAGATCGAAGCTGCGACGCAAGCAATATTTTACATGCTCGGGAACGGCGACACGTTCTGGACCAAGGGCAACGTCCGCGTCGACTCTGGCACTCTGTTTGTCCAAGCGGGGGAAACGATTGCGACGGGGGGTCTCTTGGTTCAAGATGGAGGCAGCACGACAACGCTGTCGACAGTGGCTGGCACCGTGTCGGACTCGTTGGCGTCAAACACAGGCTTCACTGGAACTGTGATGACGGTGCGAGCGACCCAACCGGCCGCAATGTCGTTTTACCTCTTCACAGCGTCTACGGCAAACTCAAACGTTGCGATGTTCGACATTCGCGGTGATGGGCGCACCACCGTACATTCCGGAGGATTGGAAGTCGTCCTCGGTGGCGCCACCATCACCGACAACGCGGTGGCGACGTCAGTGCTCACCATCCAAGCGTCGAACGTGGCTTACACGGGCACTGTCGTGACAGTGGCAGCTACTATGGGGTCTCTATTCCCCGCCACAGACTTCAACCTTTTGACTGCATCGGCGGGAGGTACGACAGCCGTGACAGTCGAAGCGTCGGGAAAAACCACACTGGCAAATGGGGGCTTGTACGTCAACGGCATTGGTGGAGGCAACTTCGTCAACCAAGATCCACTGGCACCGGCGCTGACAGCTCTGTCCGGACTGGGAACGTTTCTAGGCACGGTGGCTACGCTTGAGGCAACAAGGGCTGCAAGCACTGCATTCAAACTCTTGGAAGCCAAGTCGAACGGTGTCGTAACCTTTTCCGTTCGAGGGGACGGGTTCACGACAGTCCATTCGGGAGGATTTCAAGTCCTCCTGGGGGGCGGCACTATCACGGCGGGGGGGTTCTTCGTCAACGCAGGAGGCGCCACCGTGAATGCAGGGGGTCTGATGGTCACGAGTGGTGGGGCAACGGTACAAGCGCAAGGTCTCGTTGTCGTCGACGGTGGGGCAGACATCACCAGCACGGCGCAGTTGCTGCCCTCCCTCGCTGTACATGCCAGTCATGTTGCGTTCCAAGACTCCGTGGCTGTCATCGAAACGACTGTCGTGGCCGCAGCCAGTTCATTTTACTTGCTCAAGATGAGAACGTCGACAACGACAGCGATTTTCGACGTGAGGGGTGACGGAGTCACCACGATTCACCAAGGTGGCCTGGTGGTCACGACCGGTGGGGTCAATGTCGTCGACACCGGCGCGACCATCACTTCTGCTCAGGCGGGAAGTGTGGTGTCTGACATAGTTGCGACTAACACGACCTTCACCAGTACCGTCCTACGCGTGGCATCTGCAAGTGCAGCCGGCACTGGATTTTACTTGTTCAAGGCAGCAAGCGCGTCGACCACGCCAATTTTTCAAATTCGAGGAGACGGCTACACCGTGTTGTACCAAGGAGGTTTTCTCGTCAATGCAGGAGGA